CATATATAGATTTACGTCCCGCTTTTTGTGGAGAGTCGCATCAGGCGTGGCAAAAGCGGTTTAACCAATCCTTGCAGCTGGAAAGGAGCGAGGGTGATATACAGCATTGGCAACTGCAGCAATTCAAGTTGATTTTGTCTGTGTCCAGCGCGCTTCCCTCGAGGAAAGAAGAAGCCTTGTCTGAAGCGAAGTTGGAAGAAAGCACAGAGTCGGCAAGTGAGGCCCAAATGCGCATGCACTATGAATAAGCACAAACGCCCACACTGTTCACTTGTCACGTCATTGATTTTTTTGTGTGTGATTTTTTGCTGGGTTTGCAGGCCAAAGCATCTAAACGCGAAGCGCTGATGAGGGCTTCGCTCAACACGCACAAGAGGCACTTGGTGCTTCTGGATACGCAGGCCAGGACATGCGGGACCGCCTCTATAGAACAGGCAGTCACTGATGCTTCCACCGTCTGTCCTCATTTCAAGGCGCTCGTTTCAAGTTGGAAGGCAAAACATTGCTGCTTTGTGACTAGAAGGCTACTCGCGAAGAATGGCTGTGGTATGGGAGGGCTAGCAGTGCAAGATCAGCCACAGTCTTGAGAGCCAACCCGGCCCTGGGACGGGGGGGCGGGCCAACAGCAAAATACGCATTGCAATCCACACCAAGCTGGCCAACTGCATGAGTTCGGCATTGCCGACCTTGCTAATTCCAACTTGTTTTCGTTATTTTCCCGTCACATCCTGGGTTTACAGCATTGCCAAGCGAAAGGAAAGCACGTGCGGCTGCAGCTGCAGGTAGTTGAGGAAGCTAAAAGGTCCCCGCTGCTTAAAGCAAACCTGACAATGGAAAGAAAGGCTGTGTCTTTTATCGCAGATTTTCTTGATGTTTGCGCGTACGCTTGCTGTGGTACATGGTCAAGTCTTGGCTTGTTCCTTTGTGTGTGTGTGAACCATCTGAAGAGATGTAAAACTTCTAAGTTTCGCAGGGGGCCCAGGGGCACTTGGATGGCATGGGCCAACGAAGACCCACCCAAGTTGCTGCGCAACCGTACCTGCAATTTTTGAACCGTGATGGGGTGTGGCCAACCCAAGAACCACCATCCCGTTTTTCAACGAGAATCACACCAGGATTTTTGAATTCAGCACATGAACGGATGAAGGTGACTTCTCATTTATCTTTCTGCACCGTTGGCACAATCTGAGACTGAAGTGAATCTCTTGCCCACTCCAATTTTCTGCTTATTTGGGAATTCTTCCCGGCTTCTATTGATTTTATTCCATTCTTCAAGGTGGCGACGAAAGAATTTTCCTTTCACTCCACACCAAACACCCTCCTGTTCCTGTCAGGTGTAACTGGGTTGTTTTTGCACGGCAGACGCACTCCACAACAGAATTCGCAGTGACAGATCTGAGCAAGTGTGTGACTCATCCTGGATTCGTCAAGGTGGCATGAACCCTTCGGGGAATACCTTTCTAGGTAGGAACTTTGATCCTCCGACTTGACCTCTGAATTTACACTTTTAATCTAGTAATTCATCTAAGTAAAGTGAAACAGCCGGCCATTTTTCGCTTCTCACCTTGTCGATTGCCGCTGTGTTGAACCGTTGCCCGCTGTTTGGGGACTCACCTTTTTCCTTTGTGCTGATATGCATAGCTGGAAGCCGCGACAACCTTTTCCTTTTTCAGCAATCCTTGAGAGACAGACTCACGCATTAATTCGAGGGTTGACCACTTAAGCCGTCCAGAGGGTTGTGACTTGAACTTCGAGGGCCATGAGACTTATCACGAAATTTTGCATGCGTTTGTGGATGCATCAATTTTCACCAACTAGTTCCCCATTGGTCCCCTATCTCATGCGTGCTCCCTCTCTAGGTCAGGTTTGGGTCCTTCGCGTGCCGAGGTAGGTTTTGGCTCTTGCCTTGTAGGTTGTGTCAGGCGCTTCTGTCCGCCCCCCCTTCTCTGGTCGGTGTTTGGCCCGTCGTCCGTCCGCTTTTTCTTTTCCCTTGCCCTTTCAGGCTTTGCCCGCTCTGGGCTAGGTGTGTTGGTGTTGGTGTTTTCACTTTTTCCTCTCCTCTTTTGCGTTCCCCGTCTCGTGTCCCAGTTAAGTAGCTGTCATCTCATTTCCATCGTCATCTCATTTCCATTTCCCTTTCATCTTCACCTTCATCTCATTTGTCGGAGCCTTGAAAAGCCCCGCTGCTGCGGGGCGTGTGTGTGTGAACCATCTGAAGAGATGTAAAACTTCTAAGTTTCACAGGGGGCCCATGTGCACTTGGATGGCATGGGCCAACGAAGACCCATCCAAGTTGCTGTGCACACGTACCTGCAATTTTTGAACCGTGATGGGGTGTGGCCAACCCAAGAACCACCATGCCGTTTTTCAACGAGAATCACACCAGGATTTTTGAACTCAGCACATGAACGGGTGAAGGTGACTTCTCATTTTTCTTTCTGCACAGTTGGCGCAATCTGAGACTGCGGTGAATCTCTTGTCCACTCCAATTTTCTGCTTATATTTCGGAGTTCTTCCTGGCTTCTATTGATTTTATTCCAGTCTTCAAGGTGGCGACGAAAGAATTTTCCTTTCACTCCACACCAAGCACCCTCCTGCTCCTGTCAGGTGTAGCTGGAGTGTTTTTGCACGTCAGATGCACTCCACAACAGAATTCGCAATGACAGTTCTGAGCAAGTGCGTGCACGTCCTTCTTACACAGGGCATGGTAACCTAAATCACTAACCGAAGTTGATCTAAAACAAAGGGCGGGGGGCATGGCAGCTGTGTGCAAACAGGAAAGGTCAGAGACCAGGCTCAGGCTCGGATTGCCAACAGCTGAGAGGCAAGCAAGCAAAGGCTCATGCAGGCAAAGACCAGGGAACAGTAGGAGGGCGCACCAAAGTACAGTAGGCGAAGCCACAACCAGTCACAGACAAGGTAGTTAGTTCAAAGAGAGGCATATACAACCCGATCACGGTTCTATCCGCGTCGATTTTTCCCACAAGTTTTGGGGTGACGTGATGTTTTTCTAGTTCCCGCCGAACATGCTTCAGGTTTGTTGTAACTTTTTCTGTTTCCCCATGAAGTTTGGGACCCTGGTTTCTTTGTGGGTTGTCACGACTAATTGCCCCCGTTGTGGGGTGTGTGTGTGTGCCTGAACATTGCTAAGCACACGCAGGTTTAAACATGTTCCGATTTCATCAACAATCTGGGGGGCCATCCATGTACTGTGAGTGATGGCCCAACGAAGCGGCCACAGGATATGCGGATATCACGGCTGATCACCGTGACGCACCTGCCATTTGATGTTTTTCTCTGAACTGGCGCGGGGCTAAGCCTAGAAGCCCTGTGTTCGTTTTTAGTTGTTGTTGATCAGAAATTTCACCCAGGATGCTTTCCCAGTTTTGAGGCCCGATTGCCGCATCGTTACAACGTTCCACTGCCTTTCTCATACACTGTGTGTGTGTGCGTGTGTGCGTACACCTTTCTTATACAGGGCATGGTAACCTAAATCATTAACCGAAGTTGCTCTAAAACAAAGGGCATGGCAGCTGCTCCCCTAGCCATGCCAACGAAGCTATGGGATTCAGCCGGACTTGGGTGCAGGCTGGATGCTGAAATTTGTTCAGGTTATGTTCCGTTGTTCAGCCCTGTAGGCTTTTTGCCGCGTTCTCTTCATGCTTGAAGGCAAGCCAGAAGCAGTGTTCTGACCAGTTTTCTGCCTAGGTTTCACTGGGCCCCTGCCGGCTCAAGAACGGAATGCCTTGAACCTTCCAACTCAACCCCAAAACTTGGATTTTCAAGGCTTTCCAGGTTCCAGTTCCAAGGTTTTAGGGGCTACGAGTGGGTGGCGCCAATGGTTTTCAGCTTCAAAGGTTCCAGGCATTGAGGATTCAGGGTGACAACCTTGGACCCACTTCCGGGAATCTCCCTCACTTCAACAATGCTTCCGCGCGCCTCCTTGGTGATCCTCTTGCTCATTCATTCACCTGCTGAAAGGTTCCGTCAGCCATTCATTTTGTCATTCAACCCTTTGAACGCGTGATGCGCTGGCACAGGTGGAGCTTCCGCAAAAGACACAAGCCAAAGCAGAGGCTCTCCCAGAGTTTTCCTCTTTATCTCATTTGTTTTGCGCAATCAGCTGCGCAAATCTACATATTCATACGACATAGAAGCGGCACAGAAGCGATGATGAAGATCTGGTTGCACACTGTCTCTGGAATCTTGCGGGCATGTTTCTTCAGTGGCCGCTTCACAGTTGCTTCCATCTAAGATTTCAGCTCAGGCAAGGGCTGCTTTTGATGCAGCAGAGAAAGAAGTCGTGGAAGCACAGGCGCTGTGAAGGGATATATAGAATTGCTGTTTGAACTGCTGTCGCTGTCGCGTTCGCAGTCGGAATTGCCACATGCTTTCAAGTCTTTGCTAGGTGTCTTGCAGGATATGCAGCAAAAAGCGTTTGATGGTGCAAAGCAGTCTTCCTGCTCCTATGTAAATCCTTTCTCTTGTGCGGACGTCCTCTTCTGATCCTCCCTGAGGGTTGCATGCATATAGCTAGTGGCTGGATGGATTGATCGCTTCCAACCCCCTGAGACGAAGCTTGACGTCTTAGTGAAGACGGAATCGGAGACTCACACAAAGATCTCAGAGACTTACAAGGCACACGTCAGACCCAGACCAAGCTCCAGAAACCCAAGCCAAATTCGGCATTGAAGATTCTTGCAAATTGCAACATCTTAGACCACAGGCCTATGGTTCCAACCACAACCTACGGTGTCACGATGTCTCTGCTAAGCCAGGAATTGGAAAGGCTGCAAATTGAGCATGCTGAAGCGGAGAAAGAGTACCAAGATCAGGCCTGATTTTGTTTTGCGGTGTTTCCACCCAAACCAACCACCACAACAACCACGACAACCACCACAACCACCACAAACATAACAACCACAACAACCACAACAAACCCAACAAACCCAACAAACCCAACAAACCCAACAAACCCAACAAACCCAACAAACCCAACAAACCCAACAAACCCAACAAACCCAACAAACACAACAAACACAACAAACCCACCAACCCCAACAACCACAGCGACAGCAACAGCAACAGCAACAGCTACAACACAAAACAACGACAACAACGACGACGGCGACGACAACAACAACAACAACAACAAGTGCAAAGTGGGAGACAAAGTGGATAACATAGTGGGAGACAAGGTGGAGGAGAAAGTGGGCACAAGTTGCGAGACAAAGTGCGAGACAAAGTTGGAGACAAAGTGGGAGACAAGTCGGAGACAAAGCGGGAGACAAAGTGGGCAACATAGTAGGAGACGAGGTGGGGGGCAAAGTGGGACACACGGTGGAGACACATGGGAGGTGGGAAACGGTGGGACACAAGCCGTGAGACAAAATGGGAAACAAAGTGGGAGACAAGTAGTAGGAGACAAAGTGGGAATTAAAGTGGGCAACAAAATGGGAGACGAGGTGGAGGACAAAGTGGGAAACAAGGTGCGCACACACAGTGGGAGGCACAGTGGGAGACAAAGTGGAGGACACGTGGGAAAGAAGGTGAAAGACAAAGTGTGGGAGACACGGCATGGGAGACACACTGGGGGACACACCGGCAGACAAGGTTAGGTTCCAGGCGGGACATAGTCAGAGACGCAGTGGCAGACAAGCTTGGAGACAAGCCGGGAGACAAGCTGGGGCCCAAGGCGGGTGACAAGGAGGGCGGGAAATTGGGAGACAGAGAAGAGATAGCCCAAAACAAGTTGCTGGCAGACAACTGGGAGAGAAGGTGGGAAACAATTTGGCAGAAAAAGGCTCCAAGGTAGAGACGCAGGGAGAGACACGTGGAAGACAAAAGGCAGACAAGGCACCACCACAACCACCACAACCAGCACAACCACCACACCCACCACACCCACCACAACCACCACAACCACCACAACCACCACAACCACCACAACCACCACAACCAACACCGACATCTACACACAACAACGGCAACAACGGCAACAACGACAACAACAGCGATGACGACGACCGCGACCACGACAACAACAGCAGCAGCAACAACAACAACAACAAGAAGCTTTCTATCAGAGTTCTCTTGGCAAGATCTCTGCAACAGATCTCTACGCAATGTCTCTGTACAAGATCTACATAAGAGGTGTCCCGGCAAGACCTCTGGACAAGATCTCTATAAGAGGTCTCTTGGCAAGACTCTTGAAGAGATCTCTGTACAAGCTCTCCATACGACCTCTTTTCGCAAGATCTCTGTAAGAGACCTCTTGGCAAGACCTCATTACAAGATCTCTAAAGGAGCTCTCTGTACAAGATCTCTGTGCAAGCTCTCTATAGCTGAGAGTTCAATGACAGCAAAAAAATATGTTTGTTTTTCTTCACAAAACAGTTTGTTTTTTTATGATGAAATTTATGATTTGAAAAATTGCTTTAAAACAACTCATGTGTTGTTATGATTTTTCTTTATGCCTTTCCTTTTTTTATGATTTTTATGTTTTTCGTCTATGTTTTTGGTTGTTTAATGATTTTTGTGTTTTTTTAACAGTTTCTTTAATGATTTGCAAACATCATAAAAATCATTATTTAAATTAAACTAAATCATTACAGTAAACTAGAAAATCTTAAGAAGTCATAAAAATCATTAACAGAAACAAAAAAAGAAGATAAAAGTCATCGAAGGAAGTTTAGAAGTCAAACTTCCGACAATATGGACAGATGGAAAAGCAGAGGTGGGAAGAATCAGGGAAGAGAAGAGAAGAAGAAAGAAGATCAGAGAAGATAAAGACTCAGAAGAAAGAAGATGCAGGCGCGCGAAAAGGTAGAAAAGCCGCGAAACACTGTGTTTTTCAAGCGGTTTGTGGTTCCAGAGGGTCGAAAAGTAGGCTCGCTAAAGTGGCGGATGCGGGGCCATCTGGGCAGATGAGAGATGAAAAATTGCATGCGGTCGTGGTGCGAAGCAAATTTCGAAGTCAAAATGTACAAAACACCTCAACGCCGGAGCAAAAACGCACAAAAAACACCAATTTCGGACCACTTTCGGAAGATTTGATGTTCAAAAAGTGCACGGCGGAAAACGCAAACCATGCTCAGACAACTTTTGGACGTTCAACCGCGCCGCGCGACACAACGACGAAAACAACGAAAACAAACACCACAACAACAACTACTACTGCTGCTGCTGCTACTACTGCTACTGCTACTGCTACTGCTACTGCTACTACAACTATTGCTACTACTGCTACTACAACAACAACTACTACTACTCCTCCTGCTGCTGCTGCTGCTGCGGCGGCGGCTGCTGCTGCTCCTACTCCTACTGCTACTACTACTACTACTACTACTACGACTACTACGACTACTACGACTACTACTACTACAACTACTACTACTACTACTACTAAGACTACTACTACCACAAGAAGAACTACAACTACAACTACAACTACTTCAACTGCATCTCCAGCTCCACTACACTACGCTCCACTTCACCACTTTATGCTACCACTACCACTTCACAATTATAGGACCGGATAACCCCACATGTAAACAACTTCTCCAGACTTAGACTGAGCATAGAAAAGCAAGAAGGGAAGAGGAAGTATGAGAGTGATGGAGGGGTGATGGTGGGTGAGTTTGTGTACATTTGTGATGGCGGGTGTCACTGGGTGCATGGTTATGCGTGTGTATGGTCATATGGTGATATGGTGATATGTTTGCGGCACATATACAAGAATCCGATGATGTACGTTTCAGTTACTATGTATATATAATCCTCCCGTCGAAGTGCCACGCCTGCCAGGCAAAAGCGGCGGAGACCAAGGGACACCGGAGGGACGCCAGGGCGTACATCCGACCCCTTGGGAATGCACCAAGTGCCACGCCTGCCACGCAAAAGCGGCGGAGACCAAAGGACACCGGAGGGATGCCAGGGCGTACATCCGACCCCTTGGCAGTGCACCAAGCGCCGCGCTTGCCACGCAAAAGCCAGTGCCACGCCTACCACGCGAAAGCCACCGGCAGAGACCAAGGGACACCGGAGGGACGCCAGGGCGTACATCCGACCCCTTGGCAGTGCACCAAGTGCCGCGCCTGCCATGCAAAAATCCGACCCCCTGGCAGTGCACCAAGCGCCGCGCCTGCCACACAAAAGCCACCGGCAGAACGGCGGAGACCAAGGGACACCGGAGGGACGCCAGGGCGTACATCCGACCCCTTGGCAGTGCACGGGTGAGAGTGATGATGTGTGTGTGTGAGAGTGATTATATGTGAGTGATGATGTGTGTGTGTGTAAGTGTGAGAGTGATGAGGTGTGATGAAGTGAGTGTAGGTCTGTGTGTGTGTGTCCGTGTGAGAGGGTGAGAGAGTGATGATATGTGTGTGTGTGAGAGTGATGATGTGTGATTAAGTGAGTGTAGGTGTGTGTGTGTGTAAGAGTAATGAGATCTGATGTGAGAGTGATGAGTGTGTGTGTGTGGACCATCTGAACAGATGTAAAACTTCTATCCGGTACTTCGGTGCACTTTTTTTTTGTAAAGGTTCATGATTTTCTGGTTTCAATTTCACGCAGGGGGGCACAGAAGGCCCATAGAGCTGTGCCCAACGAAGCTCTCTATGGTGTCCTCAGGATATCCAGGCTGATCACCTGGACGTACCTGCATCCAATTTTCAACAGTTTTGATGTCACTTTTCCGAAATGGCGACCGGCCAAGCCAAGAACCGGCATGTCGAATGTCAAACCAGCTTTCAAACCAAATTTGACTTTGCCTGTACGGTTTTCGCAATCTGATTTACTGCTGACTTCGTCAGATGGAACAGCTGCATCTAGCAAGGACGTAGAAAGAATTCTTCTTCACTGTTTCTCACGCCTAGTCATCCACTTTCTCCTGTCAGGTTTAAATGAAGTGTTTGTGCACGTTCGATGCATTCCACATCAGTAATTCGATAAGATGTTTCTGAGCAAGTGTGTCACTCATACCGTTGTCCGACAAGGTGGTATGAGCCCTTCGGGGAAGCCTTTCTAGGCTAAAAATTGACGGTAAAACGATGTCTGAATTTACACTTTTGAATTAGTAATTCGTCTAAGTAAAGTGAACAGCTGGCCTTCTTTCGTTGTTTCACACGTCGGTCGAGTGATTGTTGAAACTGCTTGCCGCAGTATCGGGCTTCCTTCTCCTTTTGCTGAGTTGCATAGTTGGACGCCACGACAACAACCTTCCTGTTGCTTCAAGAGACTGCCCGCAGCCATTTTCACATGATTTCGCAGGCAACAGGACATCCTTGCAGGTATGGTTCTTCTTTCTTTTATGGTCGTTGGTGAGGTTCAATTGTGCACGTAATTCATTTGAACATTGATAGCCGTCGATGGGGTTGACTTGAAAGCCGAGGGCCTTTGAGCCTTATCACGAATTTTGCATGCGTTGTGGATGCATCTTATCTTTTTAAACTAATTTTGCAGTTTACCAACCTGACAGTGCTGCCATGTTCCCTGGACGGTACCCTGCCGTTCCCGACAACATGTGGACCTTCTGGAACCCGCAGACGATGGGACTTCAAAGTCAATTTTGTGGCGGTGATCTTATGAACCAACAGTCACAGGCTCAGTCTCAAGCTCAGACTCAGGCACAACTGGCGGCTCTCAGAGAGCAAAATAACATCCTGAATCAACAACTGGCGTCACAGGCTCAGACACATATCCAGCACCTTCAACAGCTTCTTCCATTCCACCAATCCACGTTCAATCCACATCCACCTCAGCCCACAACTTCAGTGCCTGAACCACCAACACCGGTGGCACCTCAGTCCACACCACCGGGATCCAGTGCATCCTT